TTATTTTTATTTTTTTTATAAGGAGAGAGAATATTTTTGTTCCTAGCACATGAAAACACAACACTGTAGCAAATTACCCGATGCGCAACCATGACGACACAAAACACTGAAGTGGTGAGCTCAGGGGGCCTCGATAGAATACTATCAAAACTGCCAAACACCATCACCCATGACACCACCTGCGCACCGACCATGGAAGGGGCCCCGCGTACTAACACGTTGACTGTGCTGGGGAGAACAATACCACAGAAGCCTAACACGTGCTCAACTTACATTTGTATTAGAGAGGCCCTCAGTGTAATTGGCGGGGACTAGCAAGACTCTAGTGACCAAGCGCCCCGTCAAAGGCGGTCCCCCTACCCCCCTCTCTCCGGTGAGATTGATTTGATCAGCCACAACAACAAATAAAAAAAATTCCGTAGATCTTTCCACCGCCCCCCCCCCAATACATCACACACTATTTCATATCCAAGTATGTCTTTAAAGTTTTTTCACTTTTTATTCTTCACTATATAACTACTCTCTCCTTCCTGTTTTTTAGGCCCAGTAGGTCTCGATGCAGCGGGGTACGCATCAGTGCGGGTGGCAACGGATAGCTTGCGGCCCCCTGACCGAATAGTTTAATATCCCCCACCATCGTCGTGTCCCGCGCGGGCGCGGCTCGTCCGTCATTTGGTCGGAGTCACTGTTCGGAGATCTCGGTCAACGGCTGAACTGGGCGCATCAGTGTTGCTGAATGGGCGGCGGCGAGTTATGAACAATATTAAACAAAATAAAAAAAATAAAAAAAAAAAAAAAAAAATAAAATGGGAAATAAAAAAAAAAAAAAAAAAAAAAAAAAAAAATAAAAAAAAATAAAAAAAAAAAAAAAAAAAAAAAAATAAAAAAAAAAAAATAATAAAAAAAAAAAAACCAAAAAAACAAAAAAAAAATTATAATAAAAAAAAAAAAAAAAAAATAAAAAAAAAAACAAAAAACAAGCCAAAGTGGTACATGCATTTTAGCTAGCTCACTCTGCTCCCCTCTCTGCTCTGCTGAGCTCGCCTCTCGGGCTCTCAGAGCAGCTCTGGCCCATCAACCATCATCGCCTCTCTGCCCCCATCCATTTCTTTTTCACATAATCCTCTTACATTCTTTCTCATCATATTCTTTGTTCCTTATTCCTTTGCATCATTTCTTTCATATCTTATTATGTTCTCTTGCAGTCTTTTCTTTCACTTCATATTCTTCTTATTTCTTCCTTTCATCCTTCTTTCTCTTTCACCACCGTCATTCTCTTTCTTCTCTTCTCTTACTTGATTGTCATCTATTCTTGGCGACACAATCAATCTTCTTATGTCAATTTCCCTTGTCTTCATTCTCTCATTCTCTCATTTCCTCCAATCATTCTTTTTCTTTTTTCCTATCATCTTTCTTCCGATGTTTTTATGCAGGGTGTTCTCGCTCTTCTGCTCTGCGCCTAATGCATGTGGGTATATGAGCACGTTTATTTGGGTTTTTGTTGCCAACAAAGTCAAAAAACTTTTCTTTTCCTTCCCATCCTTTCCTCCGTTTTTAACTGCTTTTTTTTTTTTAACAAAAACTTTTTATTTTTTTTTTTTATTTTTTTTTTTCTTTTTTTTTTTTGAGGTTTCCTCAAGTGAAAATTCCAACATCAACCGCATACAATGTGCAATGTGTCCAAAGAACAATCGTTTGTCAAACAACCCCAATTTTTCGTTGTTCCTCCCCTTATTATCCTTTTCCTTTCCTGCTTTAGAGAAAGTTCATATAGGGCACGTAATTCTTTATCAGTAGGGGGAATAAACTTAGCAGAAATTATTCGGGACGAAAAAAACTTAAAAAAAAAACTGCTAAAAAAAAACATTGCTGCTCTGATTTCTTACTAATTAATTATAATTTTATTTAAACCAAAAGACTAACCTTTGTTTACCCTCTTCTACGCTATACCCCCTCCTTACCCCACTTAATACACACCCCTCTGAAGCCTTACATCCCAACACTTCTTAATCCAGATTAAGAAAGGAACTTTACCAGCCAGAAAACCAAAACCAACAACCCAACACACACCAAAAAAAAAAGACCCACAAACAAACAACTGGACAAATATTTTGCACTGAACGTGGAGAACGAATTCCCGGTCCCGCACCACACTATTTATTTTATTATAATTAATGGAAATGAAGGAGAACCGCTCCATCTATTCCCTATCCCTAAATTCCTAACTCCTAAACTCGGCAGAAAGAGAGCCAATGGGGTAAGCGAGAGTTGCACAGTCCACGCATGACTACAGGCCTAGGGGTGTGGGGGAGTCGGTGGGTCGTGATATGGTACTGGACTTGTTCCGTCGCTAGCCTTAAGTCGAGGCACGGGCGGCACAAAGGGCAGAATTGAAAAAACTTGCCAAAAACCGTTTTTCTTACGTTCGGTGTCAAAAAAAAACCCCCCCGTACACTTTCCGAGGGGTACAATCGTCGCTGCGAGTGGTGTAACATTTTTCCAAAGACAGAGTGTGGGCGGGTCGTGGTTACGCCCCCAGCGGAGACGGACCGGTGAGTGTGAGTGTACACAATTAGAAATCGACGGCATGCCCACAAAGACGATAGAACCCCACATCTCATTCCCCCCCCTCCCTACCCCCCCCACGCGAAACATCGTCCCCCAGGACCAGCTATCTCAGCCCTCTACAACTACCCCCCACAAAGAGAGGGACCGGAAGAAGACCCTACCTAGGGAGGACCGCTACTTTTAATCCTCTGAGTTTTTATTTTTGGGCCCAGACAGAGCGATATCATTCGCCAACCCGACACGTCGCCCCCCATGGAAACCCTGCACGAACAACTCGACCCATCGATCTCTCCTAATCTTCATGATACTTCCCCGTCACCCCATTACGTAGCGATGGAATCCCACGACGCGCGGCGAGCGGGCGACTGGCGGGACTCTTCACTGTTGTAGCCACTCTTGCGAGTCGAATCAGCAGGGTCCCGCTTGGGAGGTCCTTGTCCGTCGCGGTTTGAAAAAAGGAAAAAATTGCAACCGTAGGTCGTCTACGCGCCTCTTTTTTTCTTCTAACTTTGCCGATTCCCCACGACATACAAAATTTTTTCCCCTCTTCTCTCTTAAGCTTAAAATCTCCGGGCGGTGGAATCACTTTTCCTTCATCTCTTTTTTTACATCCTCCGTTCAACTCCCTGTGTGCACTCGAAACAGTATACATAAAATCAAATTTACTACTGACAGCATATCTCAATCTTTCCACTCTTCTTTCTTCTCCTCTGAGGAACCAATCTGCTCCATCCATCTAAGCCTACTCCTTCAATTCTCATGACCTTATAACCACAGAACACCGCTAATTTTCAAACGACGCAAACATGTCGGTTTATTGAAACTGTCAGGACAGAATACAACCATGCCTCCCAAGAATTCTCCTAGCTTGCCCCTCGAATTTCCTCCCACGGGCTATATATGGATCTTAATAAACGTTTCTCTCTAGAAGAATCGAAAGTGGTGGCCCTTCTTTTTTCTTTCTTGTCCTCTTCCTTTTCTTTTCTTTTCTTGGTCTTCCATTGCATGAACTAAAGAATGCGGGCGGGGGGCACGGGGTCGTGTTCTTTCTTCTTCTTGTCTCCGTATGGCCATGTGCTACCTGTGATCCGTTTGACCGTGTTGATAGTCCTTCCCCTTCCAGTTTGGTCCTACTGTAGTGTTTGGGGGGGGTCACAAACCGGACACTACTTCTTTACAGTTTTATTTAGTAGATGACATCATTCACTATCTACTGACATGCCATGGTTTAAAAAAAAAAAAAACAAACTTTGTCCTTAGCGGCCCGGGGGGGGTCTGAAAGTACATCTTTCGCAGAAGTACCCTGTTGGGTTTTGTTGGGGGGCTAATAGTATTCTTAGCAGGGTTAAAAATACCAAGATTTCCCCCGACCTATTTGTGGTCGTAGCAACAAACCCTTGACGCCATAGTCAGTTACAGATACAATTTCCCCCCATCTTGACATGTACAAAAGGAAAGCGGCTACATCGTATATTCAATGTTTTCCTCCCCCTCCCCCCCCCCCCCCCGCCCTGCTGTGTTGCCGAGCGCAAAACACCAGCCCGTTCCCTTTACTGCCGACACATCCGAACCACCAATCTCCCTCTTCTTTCTTTTAGGCCGTTCCTTCTCGAATGAAGTTATCCTTGGTATTATTCTACCCGTTGTTTTCTGCAATAACCCGTAATAGGGTGGAACTTCCCCTTCTCTCTCGCACTTCTTCCCTTTTTCTTTCCCTCTTCCCCTCAAGTTTTCTGGTCGTGCAGTCGTGCAAGAAGTGTGTTTCCGGGCACGTTTTCGGCCCTATTGAAAAAGGCTTTGAAAATAGCTGAGCTTTTCTTCCCCTTTTGGTGGTTCGGGGAATGGTTGCTGTGGTATTTAATATTTTGGTCCGGTGTGAGTCTTTTTCTTTTTATTTTTTTTCGAATATACACCGTATGTCTGGAAAGTGTTCCGGCCGGTCAGTAGTTTTCTTCTTTGGACCACCCAGTACACTCTAGAATACCGGCGGCTAAACTGGTTTGTCTCTTTATTACTTCCTCGTCTTATCTAATACTTTTTTTTTTTTTTTTTCGAAGTTTTCACACAAATAAGTGTAAAAACATTGATACCTGACCTGTTTGTTCGGAATCGTTAACTCATGGGTATTTACTTCTGCAAATGGGAAAAAGAATCCTCTCGTTTGAAAAATATGACGACAAAACGTGGTCAGCCTCCGAACCCCTGAACCGATTCCCAATAAAATTTTTTGGGTTTAATATGCAAACGGTAAAATTGTGATGTACTAACTCCGCCCAGTCTTTGGCAAATCAACATACGAAAGAACAAGCTTCTCTCTTTCTGCTTCACCACGCAGCTTCTCCGACAACAGCTACTCTGCAAATAAGTCCATGAGATGGGCCGGAAATATCACCACCCATGGGCCCCAGGTGCTCTCCCTACTCAGTTGTTGGTTATACTTGCCCACACCCCGCACCCATATGCAAAAGTAAAAATAAGTAGTCCCCCATGCACGGAGCTCTTTCCAACACACACAAACAAGAGTTTTCCCGATAGCATATGGCTTTCTTTCCCCCCTTTCCGGCAGGGTTTGAGTATTGCCTATGTGGGTGTTGTGTGGGTGGTTGTTCCGCTTGGGGCTTTCTTTTTGAAAAAAAAAAAAAAAAAAAAAAAGAATGACAGCCTAAGCAACCGCGAGCAGGAATAGCCAATTTCCCACATGGATTCTTTCTTTCCTTCTTTCTTCTTGTTTCTTTCTTGCACGGTGTTGGTGTTTTGGCAACCGTTCGCACGGGAGTCGTGTCGCCCCGGACTCCGAAAATTCGCAACGTGAAAGAAGCGCGGGCGGTGCACGGTTGACCATCAAACGAAGAAACACCAGCAATGATTATTACATCATAGTATCCAAATACTTCTTCCTGCGTCAACTATTAACACCTTTTGAGTAAAAACCCACTCACGGAGCCCCCCCGTGAGGTCGACCCCGTTTCAGGATTTGTTGAATGAGAATTCTGTATTCAGGTAGCATTGAAATGATAACTTTTTGTGTTTTTCAGAGCAAGGGCAGGCCGGCAGTAATAAGGAAACAAGAATAATTAAGGATTTATTGTTTTAAAATCTATCTCTTCCAACCACCCATCAGATGCCCATTTTAAACCATATGTTGGGGGTCCAAAAAAATTAAGCGTAATCCTATTAGTAGATTAAAACCCGACACAGGCGTGCCGGCTACCAGGGGGTGGCCACCGCGACCGCTGCTAATGGAACACAACGCAGGAGCTCACCGTGCACCCCCCAACACTTCCCGCCCCTGCACCCCCCCTTGGGACACTTAACACGTCACCCGTCCTATTTTTGGTGTTGGGTTTCTCCTTCGTCTTATGGTGGTAAAAAAACCTTAGGTAGCGTTCCACCACATCCGAGAACACCTCTTGGCAGGCGCTCCCCCCCCGGCCTCCCCCCAACACCCCACAACAGAATGTTTTGCAGATCCTCTCAAAGAACACGAGCTTATTGCTTCCCCCTTCCATTCTTCCATCGCTCGCGAGCTATAGAGACGCGGGAGGGTTCGGGGGGGGGAGGGGGTGGGAGCTTAGGCATACCTACTTACAAATCCCCCCTCCTCACTCGTTGATGCTCTGAGTAGTTTTCTTTTCCATTCTCCTCCTTCCTTACCCTTCCTTCTACTCCCTTCCTTCATCTTCTATCAACAATGCTCGTTTGATCCTTGAGTACGACAGTTTTGTACTCCAGGCGAGGTCCTGCTGATCACCTAGCGTGGGAGCGATAGTTGGTCGTGTCGGACAAGGAGTTGTTTTGGCTTTTGTCAGAACCGTAATCCTGCGTGCTTTACTGGTTTTACCCGTGTTTAATCCAAATATTATTTTCTCAACTGCCAGGATCCCACAACTGGGGCGGGGCCGCGGTTTCCCTTGTTTCACTGGTTAGGAAAGATTACAAAAAAATATGTCACCCATTTTCTTTTTTTTTTTTTTTTTTTTTTTTTTTTTGGTTTTTTGGTAACCTTTTGACCTCCCCTTCAGTCTTCACTCCCTTCGTTCGACGTTCTGAAGAAGTCCCCTTCCTCCTCCCGCACCAGCAAGTACCCCGTTTCTCTTTCTCTTCATAATTTGCAAAGAAGCGAGTAACATGTGTGAAATTTGTTGCGATTTAATTGCACGGGGGACAAAACAACTGTTGTGGTTCTTTTGTTTCCTTGCTACCCCCGAAAAGAAATTATTTGGTTTGTTGCCGGCGACGCGAGCGACGCCGCGAGCGAAGATTTACTCCTATCGTCTTGCTCTCCCAGGATCACGTACCTAAATTCCCACCGTTTGTGTTCCCACACCGCAAAAAAAAAACTTTGTGAACACTTGTTCCCCAGCAATTTACCGCACCAAAGTAATGCCCTTCCAACATCCTTTCCTCCAATCCCCGTCCAACTCCATTATACATCGACCTCCTGCTTATTAATCATGAAATAGGGCCACCATGTCTTTTTGGATTGCCGAGCGAGTTTAAAAGTTGTTAAGTGTCCCCTGTCTTAGTCCTTCTTTGATGAAATTAAATAAAAGGAGGGTAGGAAACTGGGGATTGGCGTTTCCTCCGTCTCACCCCCGCGGACAATTCGGTGGCTCCGCGGAGTTGTTCTGTGGCCCACCGGGACACCGAGCCGACAGATTTTCGACAGGGCGAGCACAAAATTCCAGCGGGGAGTGGCATCGGAGATGCATCGAACGGGACCGGGGGGTGGGCGCCGGAATCACAGTAAACCTGAAGCAATAGAGAAGAAAAGGGAAAACACAAACACAACAGCACCCCCGCCACGCACAAAACACAAGAAGCAAGTTTAAGTTGCAGTTTATTCTTTTATTGTAATTTTTTTTTTTTTTTTTTTTTTTTTTTTCTTTTTTTTTCTTTTTTTTATTTTTTTTTTTTGGACAGAACAATCCCCATACCAGCATCCCCCCCCTTGCCAAACTTTTTCTTACACCTCTAAACTCCCCCTTTCAACACACTAACAACGTTGGGGCCGTTGATCAAGGAACTTTTTTTCCTTCTCCATCTTCTAGAGTACCCGCTTAAATATTCACAACTTTTAACCCTACAACCATCAACTCCCTATACCCTACTTCGGGGGGTCTTGTCTCCAACGTAACCGTTTCTCAGCCAGCACCCCCCAGCCCCCGCTACCAACAAACGAACCCCTCGTCCTGTCCCTTAAACCCGACGCCACACTGGGGCTTGAATCTACAGTCCCCATGGTGTAAGTCACGTAACCCCCCCCCCCCCACCCCACCTATCCTCCACCATCGCCTCCCTCCGCCAACCCCCCGACCCGTACCCCGCACTCGTCCACAACCTCTGTCACCGCCTCCACCTCAACACTCGTCCTCACACCAAAAAAACCCCCCCCACTCGCAGCCCTGGGCTGTAGCGAAAGTTCTCACGTCGCGGAATTTCATTTCACCCTCCAAAAAGTCTCATCGCTGCTAGCTTTTTGTTGGGGGTCCCATCGCAATAAAAAGCAGAGCAGGGAGAGTCAGTTTTTAAATATTTAATTTAATTGTCCTTTTTATTTTAAACCTTTTCCTTATCCAACCTTTTCTTCAAAAACTTACTGAAGGCGATTATGGGCATCCGGTTAATCATTAAATATTTGACCATCTCACGCGTCCCATATTGGTCTTGTTAAGCCCAAGCCTCTGGATTGATCCTAAACACGCGGTCTGTGTGGTTCAAACTGCGGGGGCAGGAAACATTTCGTCCCTCAGACATTCGTGGAGGAAGTATAGTTGGCTCGCGCGTGTGGAAAGCTCGTCGACACTAGGCCAAAATAGTTTTCCTTTTTTTCCCAACGGCGAGCTTGTATGAAGCGTTGTACGCCCGAATAGCTGCGATATAGATGCAAAATTTTGGTACTCAGCAGGTTGTTTAGGTTTGATTGCTGATGGCTGATTGTTTCCGCTGAGCTCGTTCGCTGAGCTCCAGCTCGTCAGGTTGACGCAAACGTTTTTCGGCGCGCGTCACGATCACACCACTCGAGATGACATTCGTCATGCGAGTTGTAAATTTAGCAAGATGTGGCGGAGGCAGTTGTGGGCGGCGTACGAAGCGTCGGTGATGTGAGTGATCGATCCCTCTAACTTCCTAGCCGCCGCTACTCCTGTGCTTACGTGCTGCTCTAGTAAAACGCTACTTACATTTCTACTACTACTTTTTAGCCGAGCCGAGAGCCTCCTAGGCTAAGCCCTCCAAAAAAGCAAGCGAACTCCTATGAGCCGGCTACACTGAGTATTGGATTGTTCGAAAGACGGTTATCCACGAAAAACTTCACATCATGAAGAAGCCTAAAAAGAAGAGTCAAGAGGGAAGAGGTGCGCAGGGGTGCGCGGCAAACAAAGAACAGCAGGAAAACATTGATAAACGTGTAGCGAGCGCTTTCCTTACATAATCAAGAATGTTCGATTTTTAAAAAAACGACAAGAAGGTTTCTACGACACTACAAATAGAATCCTTCCCTTGGGGGTAGCTCCACACAAACCACAACCAACAGGTATTACCTACTATCTCCCTCTTTACTCCTAACTCTTCACTACTCTACTATCCTACTCTTAAACTTTTAAACTTCCCTAACTTACTACTACACTTCACGTCTCTAACCTTTCTACGTACCTCACTCTGCGGAAGATTACATTTCAAGAGACGACCCGACAGGGACAAAGTTTAACAACGATCAAAGGCAGAGTCAGAATAAGATGTAATCACAAAATTAAAAAATATAAAAAAAAAATAACCCATGACAAAGAGGTGTGTGACAACGAACCCAGCCACACACACTAACAACCACAACAAACATCGGACCGGACAAACTGGAGAAGGAAAGGCAAAACAAACCACCACCACGGCAAACACCCCCTAACACATCACCCCCCAAACCACATCCAACCCACACCACCCACACCCACAACCACCCCCCACACACCACCACCCCCCCAACAACCTCCACACCCCCCCCCCCCCCCCCCCCCCCCAACCCCCGCCCAACCCCCCCCACCACACCACACCACCCCAAACCCAAACAAACCCCCCCCCACCCCCACCCCCCCCCCCCCCCCCACCCCCCCCCCCCCCCCCCCCCCCCCCCCCCCACCCCCCCCACCCCCCCCCCCCCCCCCCCCCCCCCCCCCCCCACCCCCCCCCCCCCCCCCCCCCCCCCCCCCCACCCCCCCCCCCCCCCCACCACACCCCCCCCCCCCCCCCCCCCCCCCCCCCCCCCCCCCCCCCCCCCCCCCCCCCCCCCCCCCCCCCCCCCCCCCCCCCCCCCCCCCCCCCCCCCCCCCCCCCCCCCCCCCCCCCCCCCCCCCCCCCCCCCCCCCCCCCCCCCCCCCCCCCCCCCCTGGCATGATAAATGGCACGAAAACCCCGCCGAGTGCGTCGGGTGCGGGGGTGGCGCGGAGCCCCCCCCCCACCAGGGGCCCACACCAACTTTAAGCCCCGCCCCACCCCCAACCCCAAATTACTATCTAACACACACACACCCACATCCCCATTCGCTCCTCAAGCGAGAATAACGTTTAAGAAAAAATTTTCCTAGGGAATCTCCAAGGCCCCCCGGGCGAGAAATTCCGAATTTCCGAGGCAAGAGCTAGAAAGAAATTCCCCATTGCTAGGGAGGCACCAACACTAAAAACAACGTATTCCAACCCCACCCGAACACAAAACGTAGTTATCAAAACATAACACAGAAAATAAAACACCGACACATGGTGTTGAAATAGATAGCCTATATTTAATGTATAACGGAGCATCAAAACCAAATATCATAATTAAAAAAAACAAAAAAAAAACAAAAAAAAAAAAATTTACGAACGAAATGAAAAGATCACCGCGAAAACTATAAAAAAACTAGAAAAGAAAATTCCTAAAAAAAAAAATAAATCTAAAACGGCAAAGAGCGCTCGCTAGAGACTTACAACACCGCCTAGGAAGAAAAGGAACCAACTAAGAAAAAAAAACTAGACTAAATTCCTAATAAATTATTATTAAGGGAAAGGAATGCCTAGACAGAAAAAAACCC